CCTTTAGTTCAAGTGGTAGGTGCTCATGGGTCTTGTTGAGGGTTCCGAGTTTGGAACCAACTAATCGTCCGAGTAGCATTGGCTGCATATGTAGCACTTAACCCTTAAAACAAGCCTTAAATTAAACGTGCTTTATACTAATCCTCTGCACAGCAGTAAATTTTCCTCTCTGAGAGGGTTTTGGTATGTGTATGTGCACCTCTGTCCTCTACTGGAGAGAATAGATCAAACCCACTCATATATGTTAATTTTTTATCCATTTCACCTACTTTGTCTGTGTGCAACAAGCAGGTAGAGTGGACTCGGTGCATCCTGCAGCCCATTGAAATCAAGGGAAAGACTCCCACTGCCTTTGATGGGCTTCAGATCAGGTTGGGAGGGTGCTCGGCACTTTGCAGGATCAGACCCATACAAGGCAGTTTTTCCTACCTTTGTGAGTGTTAGGCTAGTGTGTTTACCTTGGGGCAATGCCAGTGCTGGTTATGGAAGGGTTAAAAATACATTTGCTCTCAAGCCCTATTTATCCTTTTAAAAACAAAACACAGAAGCTTGAATTGTTTCAAGGAGACAGATTACTGTGGACCCCTGCTATTTCAGCTTGACCATCTGCACTGATCCAGGGATGACTGGCACAGTCTCTCATCTGCCCTGTTGCAGCTGTTTGCTTTGTGCTGTTGTCCGTGGACCCGACTGACGCTCCCTGAGCAGGGCTTATTCCCTTGCTTCGTTTAAGAAGTTTAAGATTAATACGCAGAGCTTCGGGATTCCTCTTTGCCTAGCTCCCAGTCGCGCCAGCTTGCGAGAATTCTTTAGCTCACGGTCTGCCCTTTGCTGCCATACGGGGTTAAGATGTAAGCTTGTTTCAGTCGGCCATCTGCTCCTGTGGAATGTAGAAGGGTGTGGTGTGTAGTGGTCAGAGCGGGGTGGGAATGACTGAGATTAGGACTCCTAGGTTCTATTCCTAGATCTGGGGGAAAATATTGTCTAGTGGTTGGTGGAGAGGGGTGAGAGTCAGAACTCCCCTAGCTCTTAAGAATGGGGTTGCGGGGGAGAGAGCTAGGATCCCTGCATTCTGTTCCCAGTTTTGGGAGAGAGTGTTGACTAGTGGTTAGAGTGGCAGTTGAGGAATGGAGGCAGGGAGACTGAGAGTCAGGACTCCTGGGTTCTACCTGTAGCTCTAATGCTGCACTCATTGCATAGCCTTGGGCAAGTCACCGCATCACTGTGCCTCAGTTTCCCTATGTGTAAAATGAGGATAGTACCTCCTCATTGAAGGGTCCCAAGGTTTAATAAATGCTTTGGAAGTGCTTTGAGATCCCCATAAGCAAGGAGCTACATAAATGCAATGTGTTGGTGGTGTAATGACATTTCATTATAGTACAAGTTAAGGGAATTATGTATTCCATTTATGGCTGAGTTTGTAAAAATGCACTTATAATATCCAGAATGGGAAATTCCATTTCCTTTTCCAGAGGCTTCCCAAAAGTGGATAAAATGTTAAAATCCACCCAGAAGACATTACTTTTTCAATCCTGAATTTAACCCATTGATGTGGCGTAAATACAGAAGCTGTGGCAAAGTTTCAAACATGTCTGGTTGAAACTAAAGTCGCTGCAAGATGACTGGCAACACAGTTGTATGTGCATTAGTCAGTAAGAGTCTTCAAACATGTAATTAACAAACATGTAATTAACATCCTAAACCACTAAATTTCCCCATCCCTTTCCTTCATCGGTTTGCTGCAAGGGTGGGCATTGATCCAGAGCGGAGGATGGAGAAATGTTCAGCAAGAGCTCTTCCCTGCTCTTCACCAGTTAAGCAGAAAGTAAAAGCACGCTAGCTCAAGACATTCCTTTGCAGGGCTAGCAGAAAGTCCCTAAACACAGGATCCTTCGTCTTCCCTAATGATTCAGATCTAGAAGATTTGTTAAGCTCATATTTCATACAAGACACTGTTCGGATCATCTCTCACTTCATAGCTGCTTGCTTTCTGCATGCCTCTATCTAGAATAAGTCACGTGCTGCAGATAGAAATGTGTCCAGTTATTCAGTCCTGCCCTGGTCTTGGAAAGAGGGGAGAAGGAGGGATGTTACCATGTATCGTAGTGGATAGACTAAACACATGACTGTTCCTGTATAAGTGTGTGTTTTTGATCATATACCAGCATGGATCAATTTTTTTAATCCTTGTTGGTATTCTATACAGTGTGTGTATGCCAGTTCTCTTGGTAACTCCTGAACTACATTTCTGTGCGACAGAGAACCAAAATGTCCTTGAGAATTTTCCATCTGAAAGCTGCGTCAGGGTCAGAAAGCTGCACGTTGTGTTTCCACAGCTGTTTTCTGCCCTCTTGTGAAGCTCTACAACAATCCACATCTCTGGGTACATCAGCATTCGTGCCAGCAATAAAAAGCCTTTCTATTGTGCTCTTCATGTTTTAAGCTAGGAGCAATTCTGTAGCAGAGCCTTTCATAGACTCAGTTAGGAAGGAATTGGATGAAAAATGTCTCCTAAAACATTCCAATGTGTTTATACAGGCCAAAAATTTCAAACTTGGGTCCTGACCCATCAGTCAGATCCGCTAGCATGTGCCCCTATGGATTCGCAGTGAAACAAGTGGAGTGCCCCATGCAGACAAGACTCCATGCTAACAGATCCACAGGCTCAGTACCAAGGTGCCTACAGCCAGTCACCTGCATCCACTTTTGGCACTTAAAGACAAGTGGATCACTCCAGCTGCCCTGTTCTGTGCACTCCCCTGAAGCTCTGATATTGGCCACTGTCAGACAGGATGCTAGGTTAGATGGACCATTCTCTGACCCAGTGTGGCCGTTCTTATGAAATAAATAGCTTAATTTTCAGATGTTGAGCACCTGCAGCTCTCAATTCCAGGAACCCAACCAGATGACACGTAATGTTTTCAATCTTAATCATTCTTATCTCACATTAAGGGCCTGATCCAAAGCCCACTGAAATCAATGGCAGTCTGAGAGCAATTTTCATCCAAAGGTTCCCAAGGCTCTTTCTTAATTATGATGCAGATTTTCAAAAGCACAAAAAGGCAATGAGGTACCCAACTCCTGTGGAAAGGTGCCTGCCGACCTGTCACCTGGAAAATCTCCCCCTATGTTTTATACATCAAAGTCACAAATAAATAAAGTGCTATTCCAATTAACAGGTGCCCACCCTGCACCTGGGTGACAATGAGATGGATATTATCCAACTGTAACAAATGACAGAGCACTCATGCCATCAGAGGCACCTTGGACCCACACCCTGCAGTCTGATCTATATAAGTTTCATAGACTCTTAGGTTTTAAAGTCTAGAAGGGACCATTATGATCATCTAGTAAGACCTGCAAAACACAAGCCAGAGAATTAGGGTGACCAGATGTCCCGATTTTATAGGGACAGTCCCAATTTTGGGGTCTTTTTCTTATATAGGCTCCTATTACCAGCACAGAAGTGCACATAGAGGTGGTTGCAGGAGTGGAAAGCAATTGGAGACTCTCTTCTACCAGCAGACAATTACTCCATGGGTCAGTGAAAATCTGCTGAACCATCCACTAGCCCTATCCCATGGTGTTTCAAATGATTACATTTTAATTGTATAGCACCCCAGTGTCTGCAGGCCCAGAGGGTGGAGGGAAGTTGCGGGAATAGGTTTGGGCCACTTCACCATAATGTTTCATACCATTTTTCTAATAACCTGGGCTGTGAAACACCTGCAGTATCTTGTTTAATGAGGGCCTGATTCTGTACCATTGACATCAGTGGAGCTTTATTCTTTTTATTTATTACTTACGGTAGCACCTAAGGGCCCCAGCCAAGATCAAAGCCCAGTTGTGCTAGGTGCTGTACATTCACATAGGGAAAGATGGTCTCTGCCCTGAAGAGCTTGTAATCTAAATAGATAAGATATAGACAAAGGGTAGGACACATGAAAGATTATTGTACCCATTTTAAACTGAGACCCAGAGATGAAGTTACCCACCCACGGTTTCACAAGAAATCTGTGGCAGAGTTTGGAAGTGAACCCAGATTTCTTGAAGCCCAGCCCAGTGCTTTAACTACTTAATCATCCTTTGCTTCCTAGGGAAGGAGCTTTGCCACTGACTTTAATGGGACCTGGATCAGGCCTCAAACGCACACCAGGTTGCACCCTCTTCACTATCACCAGCACTGTTTTATTCCTGGGAAATCTATTTTTAGAAGCACTGGGCTGCATGACTTTCTCACAGATGCTTCTTGACATTTGTCTGCAATAAACACAAATCGTTCTTGCACCGCTGGGCTCCCAGCCTGAGCCTGCAGCTCCCCAGAGCTCTAGCAGCAAGAAAAACACCCTTAAAAACTAGTAACGAGCACATCTCCTAAACTAGCATATCTCTCTGGGCTCTTGCATGCAAAATTGCTAGGCTCTTCAGTACAGAAGAGCCAGTGCATTGCTTGGGCTCTTTTCCCCTTCTTTCATTTTTCACTGTGTTTGGTGCCACTGTTTTTAATGCAGCTGCTGATGTGAGAGAGGGATTCCAAGATCTGAGCCTGATCTACATTTAGGAATAGTCCAGACTGAGCCAACGGGGGTCCACAATCCATGCAGTTGGATTAACAAATATAGATAAGGAAGGCTAGGGCTTGTAGCAAAAAGGTGGCAACTGTCTACTACTCTGTACCGTGCCTAGCACAATGGGGCCCTGATCCTGGCTGGTCCCTAGGCACTACTGTAATAAAAATGATTAATAATAATAATTGAGGTTTACTCCTTCAATGTTTGTATTACAGAAGCACCTGAAGGCTCCAATTGCGATTAGCATCCCATTGTGCTAGGCTCTGTATGTACATGGTAAGAGACAGCCCCTGCTCCAAAGATCTTACAGTCTAAATATACAAGACAGAAAGGTTGGAAGGGAAATGACTCACCCAAGATAAAATACACAGGCAGGAAGAGAACTGCGTCTCCTGATTCCTAATGCATTGTGTTACCCACTAGGAAACACTGTCTCTCAGATATACTCGTGACTACATTAACCTGTCAATACTGGAGCAGCTGTGCCAATTGCAGGATCGGGGCTGTTCCTGAGTGGAGACAAGGCCTTGGGCTGCTGGCTCCTCAAGGCAGAGAAAGGGCCGTGCATTGGTAAGCTCTCCTGTATACAGGGCCATCCCTAGCGGGGTGCAGGGCCCGGGACAAATCAGCCTCCCCGCTAGTCTCCTTGCCGTTTGTCTGGCATGGCCGCGCGCCCGGCCGCCACCCACGTCCTCACACGCACCCATCCTCTCGCCGCTCTCCTTCTTGTCATCCGCCCGCCTGCCCACCACTCACCTGCCCACTAGTATCCTTGCCGTCTGTATGGTGCTCCTGCCGTCCGCCGCTCTCCTCCTCACCCCCCACCCACCTGCCATTCGCCTCCCCATTCGTCTCTTCACCCCGCTCGCCCACCTGCCCTCCTGTCTCACCTCCCCGCTTGCCTCCTCACCTGAATATCAGGACAAGTGGTGTCCCAATCGTACGTCGGTCGGGACACGGGACAAAGGGTTAAATATCAGGACAGTCCCAATTTTATCGAAGCACGGGGCCCCCCAAAGCACGGGGCCCAGGGTGGTCACCCCGATTCACCCTACCCAAGGGATAGCTCTGCCTGTACATTGACAGTGCTATGATATATCAACAGTTTCAATTATTGTTATTTATTAGCATCTCAGGGGGGAAAATAGTTGGATGCATCTCTGCTCTTGATATGTTTTGGAATTAATAGCCATCTATCTAGGCACTTCTCTGGCCCCCTATCACCGCAGTATCTGAGAATCTCCTGTCATTAATGCATTTACCCTCACAAAGTATTAGTATCCCCATTTTACATAAGGGGAAAATGAGGCATGGGAGATGGCATGTTGCAAAGCCTTGTGCAGATGTTAACCCATTAATCCACACAAATCCAATGTGTCGCATATATTATCTCCATTTTACCGATGGGGAAACTGAGGCACGGACCGGGGCTGGGTCGTGCCCCAGGTCATCCAGCGAAACACTGGCAGAGTCAGAGATGAGACCTTCCAGACCCAAGCACAATCCCGGTTGCCTCTCTAAGAATAATGCTTCTGTGCTGAAAACATACTGCAGTCACACAATGCACAGTAATTACATTATCTTCCTACTTCATGTTCATTTTGTGATGGGTCTTGAAGCCTTTACTATGGTATCTAGTCTGCCTCAGGCATATTTCATGTTTTTTATAGACAGTTACTGGCCGCATCAATTATTCAGCAAATCCTACAAGTGCTACATTAAGGCAACTTTTGCATTGCTATGTTGATGCAATAGTAAGTGTTTGGTAAGTTAGCCTCATCTGTGGTATGCTCCAAAGCGCACTGGGTGATATACCTTTCACCAACAGAGATCACAGCCATTAGGGATGCAAAAGGCCTATAAGGTCCCATCTGGTCCATCCCTCACAGCCTGAGAAGTGAAGTCCTGAAACGGCCTTCCAAGGGGACCAGTGGGGGCAAAGAACCTAACTGGCTTCAAGACTGAGCTGTATTGTGCAGGTAACAGAGCTTGATAAGTTTATGGAGGGGATGGTATGATAGGACTATGGACAATGGCATGTGGCCCATCAGCGACTGCCAGTAGCAAAAATCCCCAACTGCTGGAGATGGGACACTAGATGGGGAGGGCTCTGAGTTACTACAGAGAATTCTTTCCCAGTATCTGCCTGGTGGGTTTTGCCCACATGCTCAGGATCTAACTGATCGCCATAGTTGTGGTTGGGAAGGAATTTTTCCTCAGATCAGATTGACTGAGACCCTGGGGGGGGGGGGGCAGAGTACGCCTGCCTCTGCAGCATGGGGCCCCAGTCACTTGCAGGTTTAAACTAGTGTAAACAGTGAATTCTCTGTAACTTGAAGTCTTTAAACCATGATTTGAGGACTTCAGTAACTCAGCCAGAGGTTATAGGTCTATTACAGGAGTGGGTGGGTGAGCTTCTGTGGCCTGCAATGTGCAGGAGGTCAGAGGAGATGAACACGATGCTCCCTGCTGACCTTAAAGTCTATGAGTCTGAGTTCCTTAAAATGTATTCAGTGCTTTATCCTCCCTAGGTTTAAGTGACCCTCACAAAGAGACTTTGCACTGTTTACATACTATGTAATTCAGAGTTATCTCTCCTCCCCCCTCTCACATAAATTAAGGAGGGCAAAGACCATCATATCATCAATAGATACAATAGCACTGGAGTATTTTTCATAGTACTCTCTCTTTCCTTCTTCACACAGCTTTCCATCTCCCCTCTTTAACTGCTGCTGCCCTTCCATGGAGCTGCTACTGATACCTAGAGCCTCTTCCAAAGAGATTACAATTACTGTAATTCATCACTTCAGAACCAAAGCTATTCGCCAGATGGCACCATTCAGCTACCCACCAGCACTGCTCAGTTATCAGACAACCAGCTCTGCTATTTGTTGCCTGATGGAATCTGTGTTTATTTGGCAAATAATACAGGAGGGATGTCCAAGTGTCCTCTCCCTGGGAAGATCTTCACTCATTTGATGGTGAGGCATTTAAAGGTTGGATGGCAGATCTTGCACTCTGCGATTACAATAGAATTAGACATGAGGTAAATGTACAGTGTTATTGAGGCTATGTTTGCATCAGGCTGGGTTAATACTGGAAGGGAGGCTTTTGATGAACACATGCAGGAAATGGTGGAGTGATTCAATTAAGGCAGTTTTCCCTCTGAGTCAGTACCAAACTGCCTAAGCATTGTGCTAGGAAGTGCTGTGGTCATGGCTGGTCCTGATTACTTGTGATCATTAATGATATACCTATCTCATAGAGCTGGAAGGGACCCTAAAAGGTCATCAAGTCCAGCCCCCTGCTTTCACTAGCAGGACAAAGTACTGATTTTGCCCCAGATCCCTAAGTAGCTCCTTAAGGCTTGAACTCACAACTCTGGGCTTAGCAGGCCAATGCTCAAACCACTGAGCTATCCCTCCCCTCACAAGAGTATTCCTCCTGGAGTCCTGTTCAAATTCTGTCTTGGATGATTACATTCTGAAATCCCCCAACAGCGACAGCTTCCTCTGAAAACTACTGAGCATGTCACTGTAGCATTGTTAAGCTATTATTGTGTTTCACCCCACCAGCAGCTGTACTTCAGTAAGGACTAAAGTGAGCCGTGCATTTAGAGGCTCACAAAGTGTTTTGAGTTACTTTGGAAGGTAAGAAGCTGTCTACTTGAGCTTAGGGTAATTGCTCCTAGGAAGAAAACATCTCTCCCTCTCTCCAAGCCTGATCCTGCAGGGTGTTTGGGGGTGTTTAGTGTCAGGATTGTCTTGTTGTAAGGTGCTCATCTCTTGCAAGACTAGATCCTCTCTCAAGATAAAGCAAGAATGTTACCTGGTTTGGTCTCAGTCACTTTTCAAGACTAGGTTTTCAAAGTGTTTATCTGCAACACCGGATAACTCCCTGTTGTAGAGTCTGGATAGAGATGTAATGGCCTGTGGGCATATTATGATGGAGATTCAATTAGCCCTCAGTGGGCCTGCGCCATTCAATGGTCCCTATCTACATGTCAGCCTCTAGGCAGAATGCCATGGTGCTGGGCCAGGGCTGTTATATGGTCCATATGTTGGTATAATGACCAATAGGCAGAATAGGGTGGAGCTTAGACGTGTCCTTGCCAAGCATGGGCTGCTCCAGGGTCCATAGCCAGGTATATCAGGCAGAATACTAGCCTCGCTGGCCCCGCCCATGTGCTAGAGAAAGAGGGCGGGGTTTCTGCTCTCTTTCCCCCTTTCGAACATGGCGGACCCGGCGCCCATTGTCTGGTGCTCTGTACGCGTGCGCAGACCTTGAGCCGTTGGGCGGGCGGGACTAATGAAATATGAATTATGTATCTTGTTTTCACGTTTATTTAAATGATAGTGTGTTGGGTACGGTAGCGGCGTGTGGCGCGCAGACAAAGAAATCGCCGAGGGAGCGAAAAGAGAGACGATGTGACCTTTGACCCCGCGCCCTTTGACCCGCCCCGCCCGTGCGCAGAGGCCGTGCAGCCCCGTAGGCCAATCGTCATCTCCTTCTCGGAGCGCGGGGCAGAGCGTGCACATCGTTTCGGGTCTGTTACGGACTTAAAGTGAGTGCGGGCAGCGCCGAGCCCCCCCCCCCCTCTGTCCCCCACTGAGAGCCCCGACCCCCCGCCAGTGATTGCCCCCCCCCTCGAGAGCCCTGGGCCCCCTCCCTCCACTGAGAGCCCCGGACCCCCCCCGCCAATGACTGCCCGCC